GCTGTGAAGAAGATGGTCAAAGTCTGAAGTCACAGCGGAATGAGAGTATAAAACAACAAATCATTGCCCCCATTTATGCTGATCTCTTGTGTTACATTAGAGATAAATTCCAAGTTAAGAAGGCCTCTCTTTTAAATCTAAGTGTTAATGTCAGCGATTCATACTTGCATTTGTGGCCAACTAAGTCAACAAATGTTGGACCAGAGTGGCATGAGATGATAGAGAAAGTATACCGGTCCATTAGAGAAAATGGTCTCAAAGTAATTCCAATGCTGAAATGCTTAAAAACAAAAGCTGGAAATCAGGAACTGAAAGAGTATACTCTCGAGTGGTGCAGCCTAACAGAAACAGATTCCCTTAGAGCACCCTACTTAACAGATCCTAAAGATGAAAACATTATAACCATTTTGGAAGCTCTTGGAATGAAACTTGTTCCAGCTTGTAAAAACATGCGCGACATTTGGGAAACCATTCAGTCAGCTGGAATTGAAGTGAAAGAACTAAGTCCTGCTGGCGTGCGTACATTTTTGCAAGTAAAGCCCATTAATGGTCCAAAGCAAAGATATTCTGATTTACCCTTGCCTGTAATTGCCACTCTGATCCAAGATAAAACAAGATGCTCAGAGCTACTAGAGTATTGTTTGAAGGATGTGCAGTTAAAGGAAAATAAAAAAAAAATCTCCATTTCGCTTGATGGTCTTCCACTTCTTCTAACAAAAGATGAAGTTTTGAGAAAGTTTAATTCTGAGTCTCCAAAGCTGATTTCAAGACATGACAGTCTTTTCTTAGGTTATGATGACCAATTTGCAGATCATGATATTAATGGAAAACACAGGGTTCTGGAAATGTTAAATCTGGTCAAAAAGCTCACTCTTCCAAAAGCAGTAGAATACTTAAAGGCAATAGCCCGAAGACTTGTTCAAAGTTGTGAGATCGATCCACATAGTGGACTGTATGTCCCAAATGAAATAATGCGGAAGTGGCTGGAACGACTTTGGTGCTTCATAACAAGTGAAATTAGACTTGAGACATCCAGTGTTGATAAAAAAGAAAGTCTGACATTAGGAGATGTTAGAGAACTCTTCAGTGACAGCTGCATACTACCTGTTGTGGATCCAAGACAAAACAACAAGCACCTCCTGCAGACAATGAAAGCCATGTCAAGTATTATCAAATATGACTCAGAAAAAGACATATCACACATCCTCTGCAAACTTGGTTTTCTAAAATTAGATCTCGT